GCTAGCCTTACCTTTCTTTTCCTGTTCCCCTCCTCCTACTTCCTCTCTGTTTCTCCATTTGTCTCGCTACCCTTCTCTTTTTCTGCGTTAGGAAGGAGGAACCTGTGGCCAGTTTTCAGGGAAAACATTCTAGTAGGGGCAGGATGAGGATTCCCCTTCACTCTCCTCCGCTTCAACACACCCATTCCTACAGATGCAAAGGAGAAGAGGGTATCAAGGCTTCATTACAGGTGACTGCTGAGTTAATACACACTGCACTTACTTGTTAAAAGGATGCACAAAGCACTTCACAACAAATGTTTCCAAACTGATGTACAATGCAAATATGAAAGGAACAATACATGTAGCAACAATTAAGTATGCATACATGACGGCCTTGACAACACACAATTGCAAGATTCCATATACTATGCAATATAAAATGGCAGAGTCACTCTTTGATAGGAAGCTGATTCCACAGAGTTGGGAGCTGTAACACTAAAAGCCCAGCTTCTAGTTGATGTCAGGCATACAGTACTTCTGGGACATATGGGACTCTTAACAACACTCCAACAGAGAAATGCAATTACTGGGCAGGGACACACGGGGCAAGGCAGTCCCTCACATAACCTTGGTTGTCAAACATGCTTAGTAAATAGACAAAAAACCTGGTTACATTCATGCATAGGGAACCTTTCACCTTTTTCCTAGCCAAGGTATTTCTTGTGCATGTTAAGTAAACCACAGCTTCTTTGTAGCTTCTTCATATTCTGTATGGCAGATCAGTGGTGCAGAACCTCAGACTATTTCTCCTGGATTGGAACAAGCTTGTGGAGCTGAGGCACCTGTGTTCTAAGCTGCCATGCTCCACGGTCAGGAATGAGGGCTGCTAACTGCACATGAGGATGCATGAGCCAAGGCAATATTCAAGGCAATATTACCCAAGTAATATTCCGATTGGTTAATAGCCACCAATCCTGGTTGCTATGCTTTCTAGTATAAAGCTAGCCTTATTCCCAGTTTTCAGACACATCCTCCTACAACCACATGGTGTGTGATATCTCTGTAACATCTTGAGTTTACCTCTTCTGTGTTCAATGTTTTGTTTGTGGGTGTTTGGGCATTAAGCTTGGATAGGTTAGCTTTGCTGATTTATTCTAGTTTATAACTCCCAATTATATTATTCAATTGCAATTTTTAAATTTAAGTTGCAAATGACAGGTTGATGGGAGTTATAGTCCAGTATTTGGAGGGCCATAGGTTAGCACCCCTCGATTCAGAGGTATCTGCTGCAAAGTGTTGGATTAGCACAACCTTCCCCAACCTCGTTTTCTGCAGATGACGGGAACAACCCCAGACAGTATTTTCAGTAGTCAGGGATGATAGGAATGCACTCCAAGTCAACCAGATTGGGGAACAGGACTACACTGTCCCTTTGTCCAATTCATCAAGGTAATTCCTTTTCTATTAACACTGTCACAGAATAGCTTTTATTACTCTGTTTATATTTTGCTACTTTACTATTATTTCAGTTGATTCTCTTTTGAAAATCATGAATACTTTAGTAATTGCCCAAAGCCTAACTTGTATATTTGCACGTTGTCTAGGCAACCACTTTGAACAGCAGCCACCCATCACTCGTTGTTCAACCCAGTAATGATTAATACTCTTGTGGAGTAGACTATCATTATACCTCATACACCTGGGACATAGTAGGGAGAACTGACTTGTTGAATGTCATTTATACCTTTTTTAAAAACCAGTATTTTCCATAACTTTTATAAAGCTATTAATGAAGTAATTATCATTGATATCAGACAGCAGAACCACAAATATGGTGACATAACATTCTACTACGTAGCTGCAATGTCCCCAACAATTTATTCTGTATTTATTCCATAATGACATAACAAACAGACTAGGATTGGTGACGGATGTTTCCCTTCACATGAAAGGCACGAGAGGCCCATGTTGATCAAAATGACTCACACTGACTAAACCTGAATGCTCTGTACTGATTAACAGGATCAAAAGCTTCCTGCATGTTGTCTCAGGACCTTAGCATATGCTTGCTGCTTTCTCTCCTAGCTGGAAAGCTGTTGACATCAGATTTTTGCCACAGAGGAGAAATGTGTCTGTATTGAAATGAAGTCCATCTGGGTCCAGTCACACAGTATAAAAGTGTGTAATTAATACACACATACAAACTTGCTATTCTGTTCATTGACATCCAAGAATGAAGGCACCATTTTGGTTTTAGGCTACACACACACAATACATTTAAAGCACCACATCTCCAAAAAAAGAATTCCAGAAAGTTTAGTCTACCCTTCACAGAGCTGCAATTCGAAAAACCCTTTGGATTTAAATGTATGGTGTTTACTACATCTTTTCCAGTAGAGTGAAACTTCAGTTACTTTCAGTGTAAGGAAGCAGGTAGCATGGGAAACCAGTGGCGTAGCGTGGGTTGTCAGCACCCGGGGCAAGGCAAGTAATTTGCGCCCCCTAACCCGTGGATTTGCGCCCCCTAACCCGTGGATTTGCGCCCCCTAATCTGTGGATTTGCCCTAACCCCAGATGTTGCGCCCGGTGCGGCCGGCCCCCCTGCACCCCCCACGCTACGCCACTGTGGGAAACTGCTTGTGTGAAGTCAGATCATGGGTCCATTGTTTAGATAAGCTCTCCATGATTCTGGACAGGAGTCTTCCCCAGCTCTAGCTAGAGATGTTGATGACTGAATTGAGGAACTTCTGCATTCAAAGCATGTGCTCTACAACTCAGCCTTCCCCTTGACTGCAGCATATTTGGCGATATGTGTACATCAGAGGATCTACAACCAGTGTCATGATCAGTACCCCCCCAACCCAGCTTCTTTCAGATGTCCTTTAGGCAGGAATTTGCTAAATTCATTCTGCACAGTTCAAGTAACATAATTGATTTTGTTCTATCATTGTTCCATTATCTTTTTAAATGGGGATAGTGTTGTGGAGGATTGACAACAGAGATATTTTCATTTGCAGGATGGAGAATGCTTGCTCTACATTCTTATACAGGAAAGGAAACAAAACAACAGAAATAGCCACATGGTATGCTGATTCAACATGGCATATGCCACCATCACAGAAGACATAAGGCTCCCGTAAAGACACCTTAATAGCAGCTAAAAAGACACACGGGGCTTCTGCATTAAGTTATTCTACTATGGCAGGAATGTATTTTACATTCCTCAGCTAATTTGAAAAAGATTTCATGTACTGTACCTGTTTAGGGTTTTTTGTGTGTGTTTGTTCCATCAGTCCCTGTAATCTCTCATGTTTCTGACCAACTTTAAGGTACATTTCAACATAATCCTGAATGAATGAGTTTTTGTCCAGGGAACTCGGTAGTAGGAATCAGAAAATACAGTAGAGATCTAATTACTACCAACTGTAATCATTGCCAAACACAACATATGTACTTAAGGAAAACACATGGAAAACTCACCAGCACTACAGAACTCAAAAGCACACAAGCATTCTTCATTGAGAAAAAGATTTGTTAAGTGGGATGGTGATCCCAGAGGTGCAGGGTAGTTCCAGGTGCAACAAAGATCCATGTTAATTTCACTCTTGAGGTGTTACACACGAGTAGTCATTGTTATGTCCATTTCATCTCTGAAGAGCTTCCTTCCAATTCCTCTATGTCTGTGGGGTCATGAACATGCCGTTAAGACAATGCACAGTGGACCTTACTTCTCATAGTTGTTGTGAGAAGAAGTTGTGAAAGGGATAAATCACGAGTCTCTACTCCGTCATAACCACTGGATAGATGAAAGCACAGAGGCTCACTTCGATTGTGTTTACATGCCACAGGAAATGGTTTACTTTGAATGAGTAGTGTTTATTTTTGGGTTGCAATTGTGTTACCAGTTGTGGTTTGTTTGGAAGAAACAAGTTGACATGTTCACATGTTATGGTAAGCCAAAGCTTGTGGCTTACAGGGTTCTACAGGGCAGAAGGAGTGGAATGAGAGGGCATTATGGTTTACTACGACATGCAAATGTGGTGGGAGTCAGATCTTGCAAATATTACTAGTGGTGAAGAGAATGAGATCTTGCAAATATGACTACCAAGACAAGAATTCCTCCCCACAGGCAAACCATCTGCAGCAGCTTCCCCATGGTGACTACAATCTGTTCCCAGATCCATAGTGGCTTTTGAAGTCCAACCTTGCAGTCCAGGAATCCAACCACCTTCCCCAAATTTTCCCGACATACATGTGTAACCTCTTAGAATATTCCATAACCTCCCCGAACAACCTGATTCATTAGTGGTCTGCTTTTCTACAGATGTGATTTTGAATGGCATAGCAACTGTATTTTGTCCATGTTCCATTTTCTGCCATTAGAAGGGCACTGTGCGAAGACCCAAATGCAACTGGAGTTGGCGCAGTGCCAAACACACTTGCGGCTGCATTTCTTCTGTTGCCCCCATCCCCTTTGGCCTCAACTCTTTAGTAAAGCCAATAATTATACTGCCATACAAACTGCACCCCCGTCGAGAGCTGCCTCTTGGACTGTGCCACTTTGAGACCGCAGGTGGCGGTTTACATGATGGAATTCTTCCCATTTGGGAACATACATAGGGGCAGAAATTGTTCTATATTTGGAGCTCATCCTTTCTCCCAGGGGCTCTGGGTGCCACCCACCCATCACTCCTGCCCATTTCATTGCCCCCAACAATCCTGCAAGGTAGAGCAACTGAGAGACCACGCCAAGGTCACCCAGAAAGGTGTCTTTGGTGGCTGGATTGGAACCCAGATCCCCGTGCTCCTGGCCCAGCAATGAAAACCAATACACCACACTGGCTTTTAAAGATATTGCCTTTCTTGGCTTCTTCTAGCCTTTGTTTCTCGCGTGGACAGTTGTAGCCTGTCAACCCCTCGCCTTAAGTGGTACAGTCCAGGCACAGGCTTAAGCCGCTTACCACCCTCACCTGAAACTAGGCCCTCGCCCAAGTGATTCTGAGCAGGGGTCGGCGGAAGCCTCTTTCTTCGGCCGGGTCCTCGCTGGCCTCCTAGCCCAACTTTTATTTTGGGTACTCTTCAGCTGCGCACGGTCCCCTCAGACCCGGCCTCTCCTCGGCTTCGCCTCAGCGCCAACTTGCCCGGGGCCATGACGCACCACCAGGCCCCCCTCGGGCGGAGAACTCCCCGTTCACCTGGCGGAGGCGGCTGCGGGAGAGAGCGCGCGGCTGAGCGCGGCCGCCGGGGAGACTCCGCGCAGGAAGCCGCCCTGCCTCTCCGCCGGCAACGGGCTCCGCCACCGTCGCCTCTTCCTCCGCCGCCTCCGTCGCGCCCCCTCCCCCTTTCTGCGCGCCTTGTCGGAGAAGCCAGCTTGCTGCTGCTGCTGCTGCCGCTGCCGCCAGCGCTCAACTGATCATGAAGGAACAAGAGGAGACGAAGAAGGAGGAGGAGGAGGAGACCAGCAGCCCCGGGGGAAAGCGCTGCTCCTGCTCAGCCGCGGCTGCTCCTGCTCTGGGGTGGGCAGCTCTGGACGGGGGGATCAGGTGAGAGGCGGCTGCTGCGGGGGGCGCCGGCTCTCCAGGGAGGGAGGCTCCGAAGGGCGGGCTGGCCACCCGCGAGCCCAAGCCCCAATTCCGGGAATTAGGATCTCCCGCACGTGTGAGCCGCCCGCCAGTATTTTGTCGGATGGGAGGCAAGGGGAAGAGGCGGCTGGGCCAATAGGGGAGGGGGTCTTTCTTGCCCACCTTCCGCCCACTTTTCCACATCGCCTTGGATCCCGATGTGGGGGGCTGCAGCATCAGCCGGGCGCGTTGTGGTCTCCTCATCTCCCAGCTTCAAGACGATGCTCTAAAAATGTTCCGCTGCCGAAGAATGGTAACCTGATGAGTGCAATGGTGTGATTTGTTTTTATTTTGCCCTGGATGCTTCTCTTGCTTCTCTCTCTCTCTCTCTCTCTCTCTCTCTCTCACACACACACACACACACACACACACACACACTCCTCACTCAGCAATAGTCTGCACACCCCATTAGCCCTGCCTAGGAATGGATGGGGAGGGATAGTCTCCGAGCCAGACCGTCTGAGGGTGTGTGTGTGTGTGTGTGTTTGCGTGTTTGCGCGCGCTGTGTGTGTGTGTGTGTGTGTGTGTGTGTGTGTGTGAAGTCATGCCAACTGGAGTCTGCCGAAGCGCTTTCCCTTCTGCCAGCGAGGTTGCTGGGGAGGGAAGAAGAAAAGAGGGGCTGGTCTTTCCGGAGGAGGGATGGTGTGTGTGTGAGAGAGCAAGGGAGTTGGAAGATGTCTTTTCCAACTGCGAGTCCCCGTTGCGCGAGGTCCCAGGTAAGGCTGCACCTTGTGACCCATTTCATTGGTGGGAAAGGCGCGCACACCGCGAACCGAGTTCCGGGAGCCCCTTGCCACTCGGGGAGAAATCTCTGCTCTGGCAGGAAAGAAGATCTTGCCAAGTGCTCCTCCCCCGCCTCCTCTCCTTAAATTCTGCCACTGGCGATGGAAGAATGGGTCACCCTCGAGTTGGGTGACTCAACTGCCCTCCCTACTTCCCCACCCCAATTGCTCTCTGTAACTTCTGGGCTTCGGCAGCGGCAGCTCTGCAGCCAATCGTATCGACTCTATTGGTTGCGGGGGGGGGGGAGGTAAGGGGAAGGTACAGATCCATAGGCTTTTAGGATCTTTTCGGGGCGATGGGGCAGGGCTGTGGCTGACAGGCTGTGTCAGAGAATAGCAGGAGTAACTCCTTGTCTTTTCCTTGGATCCTTAGATTACAGACTCCCCCCGTGAAGGGGTGACCAAGCTGGAGGCAGAGTTGAAGTTTCTGCTCACAGTTTGGGGGTGAATCGGTGAGACTGAGGAGCGCAAGAGGGAAGTCAAAGGGAGCTCTGGACCACGGAAGGAAAAAGCGGAGAGAAGGATACCCATCACCTCATTTCTTCTCTGGCATCCGTTGCCACTGGCCATGAAGAGGAAACAGAAAAGATTTCTGCAAATGACGTTGTTGTTCGTGGTGACTCTGATTTTCCTGCCCAACATCGGACTCTGGTCTCTGTACAGGGAAAGACACCTGGTGAAATCCACCATGCTGGGAGAGCAGCAGGTAAGCAGAAAGCAAAAGATCCAGAGCAGCCCGGAGCATAGAGAGTTTTCTTTTGTGTGTGTGTGTCTGTTAAGTGGAGAGTTAAAGCATCTGTTTAGTCGCCATAAAAAGCTGAATGGCTCTTAATTGTGATGCATCCTTTTAACTTGAGGCTCTTCCTCCGTGAATGCTGAACACAATCTAAAGACCCAATGAGGAAGAGGAGGATTTGGTACTAAGGTTTTCTGGAAGAAGGACAACTGTATTGTGAAGGGAGAAAGTTGGGAGAGGCTAATTTGTTGGATTTCCAAGAACAGTAATTGACTCTAGCCTGGGAGTGAGAGATGAAATTGAAGCCCACATCCCCTTACCCAGCAGTGATCATAGCCCATGATCTGTAGTGAGGCTAAATTTGAACCACAAAGTTTGGGCATGGGTGTGCCTAGGTGTGTGCATAAGAAGTTTTCTCCTGATCAGAATTTTGCTATCAATTGTAAGGTCTAGAATGCAGTTGTGCCTAAGCAGTGTAATGTGGAATGAAAAAAATGCCATGATATGGTTTTAGAAATAGGTATACATGCCTCAGTATGGTCACATGATGATCATCAGCACTAATTTCATTTTTCATTGAACAAAATGTCTTATGGTTCTTATCTTTCAAACAATCCAATGAATAGATTAAGCTGAGAGATTAGCCTTCTGGGGACTTGCAAAAGGCCATCTAGTAAAGTTCACAATTTGTCTTGCAGGCAAACTTAGCATCCTATTTGATCAGTGCAGTCCTCTTCCTGCTAGAACCTGTTTCTCTCCCCACCCCACCCCCCAGTTTCCTACTGTTCCACTAACACTTCAAAGTGTCCAGGTTCCTTCTTTCACCAAATGTTGTTCTAGTAGTCAGACTCTATAGACAAAAGTATGCACACATACTCTCTGTTCGTGGACTGTTCTATCTGCTTGATGTCATAATGTGCTCCTAAGTATCTCTAGTTTATAGTCTTCGTCATCTGAGATTAACAGCAATTAATCTAACCTATATTTTTTGTCATAATTTTCAACTCATTAAGTTTATGTATGGCTCGTAAACCAAAATAAGACTTGCATTAAATTAAGTGCCTTTGAGAGAGTTGCTTTAATGCAAAACTTTAAATCATTGCTGCTGATAAATTAGGAATGGTTATATTTCACTTGCAAATATTGCTGTGGGCCTAACTGCAAATTGTTCCATATAGATTTCAAACATTTCACACATGCATAAGGGTGAGAGATGCATGAAATAAAATAGAAATAGAAATATATGCTGTAGCTTGTTTATCACTTATAATGCACTGGGCAACAGCCATATATATTAACTGTTACTTTAATGTCCTTAATTTCAAGGGCCATCAATCAAAGTGTATTATATCTTTTCAACAGAGTGAATGTTTATAAATTAGTTTGATCAATGGAAGACACACTAATGCACATTCAATTGTTGATTGATAGCCTGCTGTTGACATTTGCTGTACACAGTTTCTATATGTTAGGCTATGAAGTGCTCTGAATCAAGGCAAAGCTTTACACTTATAAAGCATCACTCTTTTTTAGAAGACTGCTCCTTCATAAAATGATTGTAAGGTTTAACAGACTTTCACAGCACAATCCTCATGCTTACTTGGAAGCAACTCTCAGTCTGTTCAGTAGGGCTTACTCCCTGGTAAGTATGCCTAGTATTGCTGCTACAGAGCATACTATTCTTCTAAGGCGCAGTGTGCTTAACCATATTAAACTATAAATGACTTTTTTTTTAAAGTATAAGTAACTGTTTTATAGCAGTTTGGTTGAAGGGATTTTGAGGTGAGAAATGCACATCTGAATGGCTGGTGCCCACTTTTGTGTTCTAGTTAACCGTCAGCCCAATCCTAGCCCTGCTTACACAGAAGTAAGTCCTGCTATGGTCAATGGAGCTTACCCCTTGCTAAGTGTGCACAGAATTGCGGCTTAACACATTACCTTGAGTGGAAGGAAGAGTTATGCCACAGCCCTAAGTGTGTTTGATCAGAAGTTGAGCCTCATCAAGCTCAATGGGGCATACTAAAGAGTACATATGGAAAAGTGGGCTCAGAATTGGAACAGCAGATGAAGAGCAAAACAACAACAAGCAATAAAAACTTCCCTCTTAAAAATCAATGCATGGACAATGAGGAGATGAGCTCTGGAGTTCTAGGAGATCACTTGCTGGAACATGTAGGGTGAAATTAGCACTAATAAGGTCTTTAGAAATCACCCTGCTTGAGTAACTCTGTTCTTGGCTGTGCTGGAGAAGCAATATTACCTCCCCATTAGTAAAACAAGACTTTTAACAAAATGTTTTGAGCGGGCCTTCACATCACACAAAATAGTCTCTATAGAGGCCTGTGATTCAGGTTTCGAATAAGTGTGCAAAAGAAATGTATTTATTGTAATAAGAGGGAACAGAATATCAAGTTGATGCTTGGTAGTGTTCATTTTGTGTGCAAGAGATGTGCTTTCCTGTGTTAATTATTAGTTCTACATCTCCTGCTTTTCAGCCAGATGTGCAAGAAATAGGGTGCAATAAACTTGGGTTCTAAGACTAGATATTTACATGGCATCATTTATAGTTCAATCTCAGGAATATGTGCTTCAAGAAGTGGCGCCAACATTTCTTGAATAGTTTCTCCACCTCCCATTATACTGGTATTGTACTAAGAAGCTGTCTGGCTTCCACATTTAGATTCATTTGATCAAGTTCTAATCTGAATGGACCTGAGTCTGAGTGCTGCAAAACAGACCTTTTTTCCCCAGCTTGATTAAAAGAATGTACTTTTGATATTTCAAATGGGTCTCTCACTAAAAGAAAAAGTATACCACATTTCAGTTATTTTCATGAGCGTGATTGCTATTTAAGATCAATAATATCCCTGGAGTGGTTGGATTGGGAGTCACTTGTTCGGAGGGCCAAAACAAGTGTCCGTTATACTTGCCATTCATTGGCATTGCTTGCTCTAGGATTAAACAACCCACCCCCCACCCCCATTTAATGCTATTAAGGACAATGAAGTTCTGTAGAGCCATCAGTCATTCTGCACCTTATACCCTAGTGTGGCTTCTTGACACATTGACTGAAAACTTTATAAATATTTTCTATTTGTGAATGCTTTTTAATACACAGAGGTCTTCAATTTGTTTTTGTTTAAAGTTTGTAATGTACACATACCATAGTTTGTTAGGGCTACAATCCTATATCCACATACATGGGAGTGAGATCTGTTGAATCCACTGGAATTTACTTCTGAGTAGAGGTGCATCTGTGCAGATAAAACAGTGAAACATGAAAGGTTCATGGTCTAGGCTGTATGGACTCGCATAGCATTCCCACCTGAAAGGAACTGGGATTGTGTACTATCAGTGATTTTTTTTATTTAGGTTCGTTTGTAATTGGTATATACTGTATTCCTTCCACTGCATGAAATATACATGGGAAATGATAGGTGGCTGATTGAGCCATTGACTGGCAAAAATAGCAGTAGCTGGTGTCAAAATGCATCACAATCACTGGCAGATCTGTTCTTTAAATAATCAGAGACAGGAAACCAGCCTCTGAGGATCCATGAGACAACAAAGGTGCGCAAGGATAGTTGAAGGAGAGTAGTGAAACTAGAGAGAAATGTTGGACAGATCCCCATGTCTGAACGATGCCCAGAAGGCATCTGAAGAGCTAAGGCAAATAGAAGTGACAAGACACGACATCCTAGGGCTAACTGACAAATTAAAGGCTAACCGGTGTCCAGGTGGGAATAGTATCCACCCAAGAATTCTTAAAGAGCTCAAATGTGAAACCATTGATCGCCAACATTGGCATCCTAAGCAGAGGACTGGAAAATAGCCAACATAGCTCTGGGTTGTTTTTATCAAGGGTCTAAGGAGAGCCAAGAAATTAGAGGCCTATTAACGTAACTTCTGTCTTGGGGGCATGGCTCAATGCTTTGAGTTCAATCCCTGACATCTCCAGGTTGGGTTGGGAGTACTACATTGTCTGGAATACTAGAGAACTGCTGCTAGTAAATGTGATGGTTGGACCCATGGCCTCGCTTGATCTCCAGGTGGGGTAATAATAATAATAATAATAATAGTTTTTATTTATACCCTGCCCTCCCCAGCCAAGGCCGGGCTCAGGGCGGCTAACAAGCAATAATAAAAACAAGTTGAATGATTACAACTTAAAAACAAAAATAAAATACAACATTAAAATATTGAAACATATTAAAATGTAGCCTCATCGCAGGAGGAGAAAGGAAAAGAAAAAAGAAAGAGAGGGAGGGAATCAAATTGGCTCCAAGCCAAAGGCCAGGCGGGTCCTAGGCCGTGAAGGGCTTTAAAGGTCAAAAGCAGCACCTTAAATCTGACCCTGTACTCCACCGGGAGCCAGTGCAGCTGGAAAAGCACTGGGTGAATATGCTCCCATTGCAGAGATCCCGTGAGGAGCCTCGCTGCAGCATTCTGCACCCGCTGGAGTTTCTGGGACAGCTTCAAGGGCAGCCCCGCGTAGAGCGAATTACAGTAGTCAAGCCTGGAGGTGACCGTCGCATAGAGCTGCTGTGCTAGTTTCCCTGTAGGTAGTTCACTGTTGCTTACTAGGAAGGTGAGGATGAGGTGGCAGGGAAGCCTGCATGGTGAAAAGATGCAGAGCAGCTGTACCTGCTGAGTCACCTCTGGCAGCTTCCGATATTCTTACGCTTTGCTCTGGAAGAATGAGCATGGCTCCTGCATAATGCCTGCCATGACTCACCAGCCTTTTGGTGACCTTTGAGAGTGTAGACAAGCATGAATCTAGGAGTGAATTGGTAGACTTTGATGGTGTAAAAGTTTCTGACAGACTCTCATCTCAAAAGGCTCCTGAATAAACTTAGTGGGCCTTGGGATAAAATCAACAGCTGGTTAAGATTGCAATCCTATACTAGCATATGGGGAATTCTGCACATGACAGGGCTTACTTCTGAGTAGACATGCATAGGATTACATTG